CACAACACACTCCATAAAAGTAATCAGGCACAATATACTCCACATGGATTAGCAGTCCCTTCATCCCAGGTATATTAAAAAAGCATGTGGAAAGCTACTTTGCCTCTTATAAGCTATCACTGAAAGATATTCCTTGTTATTTCACAATCCAATAAACTGTGTGTGCACTAGGAATAGGTCACTCATTGAATCTACTGCATGTATAATGCATTCAAGCACTACCTACTTTTCAGGCCTCCCTTGGCCATAGATTCATGTGATTTTGAGGAACATTTTCCAGCTGTATAAATTGGTAAAGTCCATGAACATGTAAGACTCACTCTGGTGGATCACATGCTTCACCTTTACAGAGCACTAAACATCACAGACACGTATATTCTATTTACATATAGAATTGACCAAAAATACAGTTTCTAGTACATGAGATATCAGTTTTAATTCAGTTTTTGTCTATTAAGTCTTTATTTTACTTTTTTAAATCCTGCTTATGAATGTCAACTTCACCAAATAACTTTAAGTTTCCCAGATGCACTGTCTCCAGAAAAAGTCCTCAAGAAGTTCAGTCTGACTTGTGCCCTGACGATGGCTTGGGGAAAGCTCTTGAAACACAAGATGTTTTGAATGAGATATAAATTGGATATAAAAAGCTAACATTTTCTCACATTCAAATATTTTGTCTTGCTTTATTATAATTAAAGTTATTTTGGATGCAACTCCATCCTTCCTTCAGCTGTCCAAATAAGCACTCCACCATCACTCTGCAGCTGGGGAGAGGATAAGAGTTCTCACTAGGGTCATCCATGTAGTTATAAGCTGTATCAGACAAAAAAAGGAATGATTCCTCCATATAAGGTGGAAAACCAATGATCAGAGTACAACCTTGGAAAGGAGTGGGGACCAAGTGGAACATACGCATGCTAGATATTCTCAGAGCATTGTGATGATGTGTATCATCAGTGTTTTGCACAGTATCATAAAAAAAAAATGTGTCTATTGCCCCTTCAAACCGAGAAAGATTGATAAATAAACTATTTATTCAGGAGCAGGATGATGCAGATAGCCAACGGTTAACACCAAGGCTCTAGCCCAGCTTGGAAATCTCAGTCTTTGCAAGGCAAAATTTTCAGGACCCTGAGGGCACCAACAGCCCCGTCTTCCCCTGTGCCTCCTACTACTCTGCCTATGGCCCAGGACCCCATTCAGCCCAGTCCCTGCCCAGCCACACTGTGAGACGGTCTCTGGCTCCCCACAGCCCTGCTCTGCCTGGCCATGGGCCCCACGGAGCTCGGCCCACCCACAGGCCAGTGCTCAGGTCCAGCCTCAGCCCAGCCCCAGCCCCAGAGGGGTGCCCGGCGCCCAGGGCTGTGTCTGCCCCTGGTGCCCCTGGCTGCGGTGGTGGGACAGATCCTGGCTGCCGGGCCCTGCCGTGACAGGGACCCCCCAGTGCTCCCAGGGAGACCCCAGCCCACAGAGGGTCACTGCGCTCCCTTCTCCACGACAAAAAGATTATTCTTGGCACATTCTTCATGCCCTCAAATGACAGGCCAACAACCCTCAGCAGAGCATGACAGTCCTCCAGCACTGCCAGGCAGACAGTTGATTTTCCAGTGTCAAAATGATTAGTACATATCTGTGACAACGAGAGGTGGCCAGTTTCCAGGGAAGGAGTGAAACCCCTTCTTACACATGTGCCAGCTTCCCGCTCCTGTTGGAGGCACCAGGGTCAAGGAAACAAAGCTTGTATGGACATGTCAGCTCGTGCAGAAGTTCTGGTGCACTGCTTATCACTTCAAATTTGGGAAAGAATATGATTCCATGTCAATTAATTAATGTGTCAGAAATTCCAGAGGTTTCATCATTTAACATGCATCTTTGCATGCATCACCCTCAGCCATTTCAGCAATAATTAGAAGGCCTTCCTTTGCAAAGGTCTGCACACTCTTCCTTCACTATTAACAGCAGTGCTGCATTAAAACAACTGTTGTACAATGGTCCTGACAACTCAGCAGCTCTGACTACTGCTACAATCACACAAAAGTGAACCCCCACACGGGCCAGCCAAGCCTCTTGCGCTGACAGGAGCTGAATATTGAATCAGAGCCCCTTTTCTAAGAGATCTTTGTTCTGTGCGACATTAAGGAGGCCAGTTTTCCTCCTTATATCCTTGCACTAGGGCCTGAATACCCATAAGGTCAGTGCAGGCACAGATAGGCAAGACTTGCAAGGTCTGACAGGCAATTTTCCTGCTGTGATTTGATGGGCTGAAGTCCAGAGTATAAGGTTTCTTAATGGTACGTAAACTTACTCCCCTCTTCACATTTCTCCATCCAGATTGCTGCTTCTTACAGAACATCCTGTTCCAATGCCTAGAATTTACCAATTGCCCCAGCAGCAGAAGGATAACCACTTCAGCTTACCACTCCAGGCACTGCCTCTATATTTTTCCAAGACTTAGGTCTTCCACTTTTTTTTGCACAGAAAAGTATCTGAAGGGACTAGAGAGTCTTCCCGGAGACAGAAGCAGGTAAATTCAATGTAATGGTAAATAAAAGACTTACACACTTGCATTTTTCATTAGCTTCACCTATGCTTTCTTTTCACCTATTTTTCTTTGTAATACACTTGTAGACTCACCTGGCTGAAATAGGTGACCCGTTAATGGTTGTATTCAACTTATTTAAATGCAATGCCAAGAGCATGCAGAGCACATAAGGCAGCAGAACATCACTAGGCTGGCAACATTCACAAATCATTCCTTCTAGAGTAATAAATTGTTTTTGTTTCTTCCAGCCTTTAAAGACTATAGCTTTCTTCTTCACACGGAAAAAAAGTAAGTCATTTGGTTTGTGAATAACTGCCATCCTTCCACGAAGGGCAGTCATCACCTACTGAAACATGAAGTTTTACAGTAGGATTTACATGTGCACTTTGGCAATTGCAGAAGCACTAGAAAGGAACTGCTGGGATTAAAACTATGAATACAGAGAAGGCAGATGTGAAGCAGTTGAGAAGAAAATAGCATGTTAATGTATGATGGGTCAAGATGTAAGAACATGCTGCCAGGAATGGAAAGTCGCTATAGGAGAAGAGAAATAGTTTATCCTTGCCTAAATCACACACACTGTGGTGAATTAATCATTCTGTGAGATCAATGATGCTTCATAGAACTTGTTTGGCTCTGAATTTTGAATTCCATTTTGACATAGAAGTTTGAGATTAATATTTATAAGGTGATTTATATGAACAAGATTGAGTCCCTTTCACTTAAAAAAAAAAAATAAAAAATCAACACTTCCTATATACAGGTTTTACTGTCTGAAAACATGAACTGGAATCAAAAGAATTCAAAACTGCTTTTTTTTCAGGTTGGACCCAGTTCGGGTGCCTCATGTAACTCGATAAACAAGTAATGCTCATGTTACTTTAGTCACTGAAAGATAATTAACTTTGTTGAAATGTGCATGCTTCTGGGTGTTGATGTATTCAACATAATAGCGAAAGAAGACAGCTCTTGCCCAGCTGCTTAATGTTCAAAATACTGCAGTGCCTGAATATGGCCAGAGTAATCTATTTCTAGCAGTTTTCAGTCTGAGCTGAGCACTACAAATTCTGAGCTTCCTTAAACTACTCAACCTCCTGGATGAAAAATTATTGTCTTTTTTTTTCTCTCTGTGCAGTTCTTTCCACATCCTCAAAAAAGGGACAGTTGTTCTGTACCTATGAATAGAAGGCTCTGTTCTACTTCATTACTAACAGAGATTAGGAGTACCTCTCAAGAAGTTAAATGTGTGTTGAGGCTAAAGGCTCTATATTTTAATTTTCTATGGCTTGTCAGTATGTTTTTATTTATACTGTTATATAAATGCTTTTTTTAAAGTTACAAATTTCAGTATTGCTTTAACTTACCCAATCCAACACCCTCTTCAGGGTAATGAGAGTGTCATTAATGTATGGTTTGCAAGTCAGTGCTAATGTTTCATATGACATCTTTCTAGGCTTTATTCAGTGTCTGAGGACCGTAGGAAAATTAGGGTTGGTGTTACCAATTTTTTTTTTTTTTTTAAAGAGCACAAATATTCTTCTTAGTTATATATTTATTTATTTTATCTTCTCAACTTAAAAAGTTTAGTGATCTGTCAATCTATTTATTTTTCCTAGAGGACAAAATAAAAACAGTAGAGGAATTAGAGAAAAATAGCATATCATTAATTTATGCTTAAATTAGTAACAAGATTATTTTTATGGAATACAATAACCAGCTAAATAGCAATACAGAACAAAGTAGGATTAAAAAAAGTATGTCTTAGCAAAAATGAAAACAAGAATTGAGAGGAGTGAGATTATAGCTACAGAGTGGATGAATAGTAACCCTATAGTCCACTGATCTATCACTTGTCTGCTCTCCTGACCTGGAGGTACACTTATCAAATACACTGAGAAAACTATCCTCACCTGAACTAAATGGCAATTTCGGTCTGACATTTGCAGTATTGCAGTGTATTTGAAAGTCAGTTATCACTGTAATTTCTACAGTTTGGTCTTGATTAAGAAAGTATGTTAGCCTATAAACAGCATCACTTGCAAAGTGATATCTGGTTGTAGAAAAACTGAAGATGTTGGATGCTTTTTCTACTACACAGACCTCAGTATCAAATACTGCACTGGGTTTTTTTTGTTTTTTTTTTTTTTTTTTTTCTCTATCAACAGCTTTACTGCAAGAGTATCATCAATTTAATTAGAGATTTCCAAATTTGCAACAGTGTGAGTGTGCAAGAGTGTGGCATGCAGAAATAAGCTGGAAGTTCATCACTAAATTAATATTATTTACTGAAAATTAATTAATTACTCTTGAGCTGAACTGATGTACTTACTACAAATACCTTTTTTTTAAAAAAAAAAATAAAAAATTAATCACCCCAAAACCTTCCAGATTTTATTAAATTACTGCCTGCACAGTTATGAAACATCAAGGAGAGACATCTATATTATAAATGGATTGAAAGGATTGCAGCATGATTTTCACATGTTCATCAGCCATGGCAAGAATAGAAGAAAATGGCTTGTAGAATCCAGGCCAATAATCCAGGGGAAACTGTTGAGGAAGGAAACAAAATAACAATATGTGGTGGGTCATAATAAGAGAACACACTGGCTAGGTTCTGTAAGGGTGAAAAAAGGAAAAACCCACTGTTATTATTTATTTAAATTACACAGACACATGGATAGATCAATTATAGGAAAGAGAGTAAGATCAAAGATTTATTTAAAATATACAGGATATGAGTTTTCATATATCAAAAAGAGATAAGGCTTGGAATTTGAAAGCAAAAGATAACTAAGAAAGGGAAAAGTAACTTTTTTTTTTTTTTAATTTTTTTTATTATTAGGTGCACTGTGTTAAACAGTCATCAGAAGTCTATGGGTTCCGGAACAGCTCTTAAAGAGGAGTTAAACAGAAGGTCCTACTAAACTATATACCCAAAACTTTCACATATGACTTTCTTATTGCAGAACTGCATAGTCCCTGACCATCCTTTGGAGTTACACTGGAAGTACTGTAGCTTACAGAAATCTCTGTCTTGGAAGTTTATGAGTATAATGGTTCAGGTAAAATGATACACTCTTCTCTCATATATAGTTTTTATTGCCATGACGACTTCGGTAATAATAAACAAATTTTATATTACCTTTATATAAATTGCTTTTCTATTATATTTATATTATAAAATAAATTTATATTTATGGAATAAGGAATGAGTGTGACAATCAGGGTTAATTTTTTTTAAACTCTCTTACAGCATACAAATCCATGCCACTATCTGTTAACACTAGCACACGCTCTACATTTCTGAGTTGGTAGTGTTCATACACACCTTCCCAAAATACTTACTATTTATTATACTATGCTTATTTATAAGAGAGCTTTTATTGGCTCTTTTTTCTTTTTTTCATTGTCAAACTTAGTTCTGGTTGAAATACAGAACCTAAAAGAAAGAAGAAACAATTAATATCTCTTTCTACAACCCTTGCTCTTTTCAAGTAGTGTTAAATAAATTATGATAATACTACAAGATTTAAAGCCCAGCAAGAATCCAAAGCCTTCTATGGTACTTATAATGTTGCAGTTTAAAGGCAAACTGCTCTGACTCTGCAGGCAACCCTTTTGAAGATTCTCATCTCAGAAAGAAATTAGCCTTTTAATTGAAAAGGCAATTTTTATTAAAACATTTTTTATCAAACTGAAGTAAAAGCAAAGGTTTACAAACTGGCTTTTTGTAAGTGGACAGATGTCTCTGTGAATACTTATACTTGGGTAACAGAAAATACAAAACAAAACCAGCAGTTTCATAAAAGGCTACCATTATATTTTAAGCATATAAACAAAAATCCTATGTCCTGTATAATAAAGCTGTCCTGCAGTTTTTTTCTATCTGTGTAAAGGTTTTTTTCTTGGTGGAGAGGGGAAGGATGTTTTAGTTTGGGGCTTTTTTTTTGCTGTGTTAGGACTCTAAAACAAAAGGTCATAATAATAAAATTTATGCAATTGATATTAAAAAAACAAACAAACAAATAAACAAAAAAACCCACAAACTGAGTAACTGTATAGAGTATTTCTTATAATGTTACCTGTATTGAACTGTGTTTGATTAGAGAGCAATCAAAAACATAACATATAACTGAATACCATTGTTTCTTGAAGACACCTTTCAACTAGCATTTATTTAACTAGTTAAATGCATTTAACTAGTAAATATTTAATATTACTCAGTAGAATGCAAACCAGGAGGAAGATAAATCAGAAGATGGTATAAAATCAAGAATTCTGTATAACAATAGTGTGATTCCTTTAATGAATTAAACAGTACAGTAAATGCAATTGTACTTTAAATATAGGACAATGGCTTGCTTGATTTCTAAATACATGGCATAGGGCATTTATATAAATCTACATAAGTTAGGCAGGTCTTCCTGTCTTATTCTGTTTTAATTGACAAAACATCTTAGAAATACTCATGGGAAGAAATAAATTGAAAAATAAACAGTAAATTAATTAAGGGCAAGAATCATAGATGACTGAAAGTGCAATAAGATTAAACCTTGTGTGCTGGTTTTGGCTGGTATAGAGCTAGTTTTCTTCACAGTAGCTAGTATGGGGTTATGTTCTGAATTTGTGCTGAAAACAGTGTTGATAATACAAGAATGTTTTTGTTACTATTGAGCAGTGCTTACACAGAGGGGAACACATCTGGGACAGCTGACCCCAACTGACCAGAGGGATATCCCATACCATATGATGTCATGCTCAACTTGAGGAAGAAGGAAGGGAAGGATGTTTAGAGTGATAGTGTTTGTCTTCCCAAGTAACTGTTATGTGTGACAGAGCCCTGCATTCCTGGAGATGGCTGAACACCTGCCTGGTGATGGAAGTGGTGAATGAATTCCTTGTTTGCTTTGCTTGTGCATGTGGCTTTTGCTTTACCTATTAAACTGTCTTTATCTGAACCCACAAGTTTTTTCACTTTTACTCTTCTGATTCACTCCCCTATCCCACCAGCAGGGAGTGAGCAAGAGGCTGTGTGGGGCTTAGTTGCCCTCTGGGGTTAAACTACGACACCTTGAAAAAGCTGTGAATAGGGGATAATATGAATGCAAACAAAACCAGAGTTCAATACATCATCTTTACTATATGCTTACTTAATTTCAGGTTTTTATCTTAATTTTGTATGTAAAAGAGAACATAAGGAATTACTGCAAAGAATCACCCATTTTAAGAGCAGCTGCAGATTCCTTGTAGCTTGCATTATTTATTAATCATCAAGAATGTGTTTTGGTTTTAATTCCAGTGATTCTTTTCCCCACATGCTTCAGAAATCAGTAAAATAAATGCAATCTTTTCTTCTCCATGAAAGTGATATCACTAGCTGCAAAAAGTTTTCCTGAGACTAGAAAAACTGTAAGAAAGAACTGTCCCCTCAATCTCTGTTTAATTCATAGGTAAAACACAGCTGAAACAGTTCCAAAAGGGCCATAAGCATTTATATTATCATTAAAAATGGAGAACTGGAACATTCTCAGTGGGGAAAATGAGAACACTATTATGCACATGAGCCAGTGTTTAAGAAGAGACAATTACTTGCAAAGTCACTAATTAGATCTCTGAGTCTTATTTCAATACTACTTTAGGCAACCCTTGGAGTCTAATATATATTGGATGAAAATGCCCTTTCAGCAACCAAAATACTACCAGAGCAATTATTTTATGAATATTCTTCCTCATCATTTCTAACACGTCTTTTCCTTCATGTCACTTGTATCAGGATTTATGGAGAAGGAGGTTATGTGATTTGTATTTTTCCTTTCGCTGGATATTTGCCCCTGTCACAGAGTCTGTAACAGGACTTACAGACTAATTCTGCTTTCTTAACAGTAGAATAAAGGTAATGACAGATCTTCTGAGTCTGTGACCAGTGTAGCATATTATATGGGTTATGTATAGTAAGAAGGGATGGGATTTTATGATCTCCAAAAGTTCATTCTAATGTTATGTCCTTACATGACCACTACACAAATAGTATCATCACAGTTTCTAATTTAGTACTTCATAAGTGAATATTTTAATTATAGAACTGACTTTCTGAATTTCACTGAGTGTAGAGTCTCAAGGCCTAATCAATCTTATTTTGATATAGCTAAAAATATATATATATTTCCAATATATATACACCTCTCAATTTTGGTACTTGATTCAGTTTATGCAACAGCAGAGATTTACCACTACAAGCTGCAAAGATGATTTGTTACTTCCCAAATATTCTAAGCATGTAAAAAACCCAGCAAACACAACATTTTGCATGTACATATGTCTCCAGCAAGTTCCATTTGGCTCGGCAGCATCATGTTTTGGCAATGACCACTTGCTTTCTTAACATCCTCTTCTATTACAAACCTGAGTTTTCAGAGCAGTTAATTATGACATAGAAGAGAATGTACATTGGCTTTGTTGGCAGGGAGGAGGGTTGGTAGCAGGGGTAGGGGCTACAATGGTGGCTCCGGTGAAGCTCCCCACCTCTGGCTCCAAGTCAGACCTACCTCTGGCCAAGGACAAGCCAATGAGCGATGGTGGCCATGCCTCTGTGATAATATATCTAAGAAACTGAACCTGGAAGGAAGAGAGGGAGTCGTGAGAAGGACTTGTAATAGAGACATCTATTCAAACATGGAGGTCAGTGGAAGAAAGGGGGGGG